ACGGGAGACTACGAGGAAGCGGCCCTTACATCTCCCCCATACAGTAGATACATCTCTCTTACATCACTTCGTTCTCGTTCTTATAGTTAGTTCAACGAAAGATAGAAAGAGAGAGAGGGAGAGAGAGAGGGAGAGAGAGAGGGAGAGAGAGAGAGAAGGAAGAAAAAACATTTTCTGATTTCACACCGATAATACCAACCCTTCTTTCGTTTCCTTGCATCCACATAAACACACATATACGTTCTTTCTCTCTCTCTCTCTCTCTTTGCCGATGTTGCCTTTCGCATGCGAGGCAACTGTACCTTGCAACTGTTATCTAGGCAACGACCTTGCTTCTTTCTTTCTCTCTTTCTTTCTCTTTCGTTACGGAAGTTGATTCGTCGTCCATTTCGTCCTTGTAATCTTTGGTCTTTGACATCGTCGTCGTTGTCGTCATAGTTGTTGTTCAACAATCGCAAGTTCATCGATCTATAATGAAAAATTATCGATCTATATGCGAATCTAATTGATTCGTCGTTAGTTTGTTTTATTTTGTTTAATTTTCTTCGAAAATTTATTCATTCCATTTTTTAACACTTTCTCGTTGTACACCGTGAATTCGATTGAATTTCTCGCATGGTTATACATATATTATATTCGACGATTATCTTGATAAGAAAAAAAAAACTAATGTATAAAACCAACGTTGAATCAACAAATGATAGATCTACGTATATGTATTTCTTTATAACAAATCTGTGTCGAACTTTTGTTATAATTTTATATTATACTAATTCGATTTCGTTGAAAGCTGCTTCACGAAATGGCTTCTTTTACTTTCGCGACCCGCATACCACTGTTATGCTATTCTAACGTATTCTATGGCTTGTAGGAAAAAAGGAGGAGTTTTTCTTGACTAACGAAATAATAATCAATATTTAACTATAAAAATATCAATTGAAAATTGTGCATGAATAATTAATGCATATTGTTTCAATTGTAATTGGTTTGTAAACCGTTCGAGTGGTGAATATTTTTAGTTAAAATGTTTTGTAGGAACGGAATAATTTATTTTTTAATGCAATTGATTGATTAACAAAATTTAATAATAAATTATATTTAATAATTAAAGTTTTTCTTTCTCTTATACATAATTTTAATAATCAATACACAAATTAGTATTACATTATTTGCATTTATATTGACAAAAGCGTATATGCGTCCCTAGTAGTCAAAGGGTTAAATAAAAAAAATAAAAAAAAAATAAACTTACACACCACTTTGAAAATAAACGTTCCCAAATATTCACGTTCGTTGCTATTCCTACGTAACGTTTTACTCTTAACGTATATACAAATAAAAGGGGTATGATATAAAAGAAAGAAAAATGAAGAAACAATAGGGTAAAGAAAAGAAAATGGCGTTCATAACAGTCACAAAGGGTTAACAAAAATTCGTACATTACGTTATTATTTTCATCTACATTACTGTTCACTTTTTACCCATTATTCAATTTTTTTTTTCTTAGATAACTCATTCTTTTTTATTCCCGATGTATGTACAAAGACGATCTATATATTATCTCGCTTATCTTTGTGCTTGAAACGTAGTGATGTTCGTATTTTTAACGTCCTTATCCGAGTTTTTGTAGAAAAATATAAGGAAAATGAAGGGAAAAAAAACCATGAAAGATGACAGGGTATAGGAAAGTTCTGAAATTGGATAAGAACAACGCGTACGTATAGGACTTCTCTCAACATCGGTGAAACCTTGCGTGGCTTATAAGCTTGTTATAATTTTAGCAAGCTGTCGCGTGTAGGAAAACATGAGATTCGCGCTAGTCGTTCTATTTTTTATCTATCGTCCGACAGGTTTGAAAGATAAGTTGAAAGATAAAATTGAAAAAGAACAAGTTAAAGTAAAATCATTCTTACGAGTTCGTTTAAAAAGTTGTTAAATGTATTTTGTTTTCTTACAAAATCAAAGTTATTTAAAATGAAGGTTTATATAGAGTGGACAAATTTTCGTATGAAACCCACTGTATACATATGCATATACGGAGATAATTGTTTAACTTTATTTTTTTTTTCTGACATTTAAAATATAAATTATAAAGCATTTCGTTCCGTTCTCACAACAAGCGAGTTTTTCGCTTTCAGTTAATAACCTACGTACGAACCGAGCATAATGATAGTTCGTTGAATATGTGGGTCGTGTAAAACGAACGTTCCCTTTCCCATAAAAAGAGGACCAATTCGCGTATCACGATCGAAAATAACAAAAGTCGTTCCGCTACGTTGAATCGAAATAAAAAAGAAAGAGAAAGAAAGGTGATCATCAGCGAATGATAATTAGTGTCACGCACCTCTCGTATTTTCCGAAACGAACTATTTAAATAAAAATTACCTTTACGTGCAATTTTCAACGCTATGAAAAGAAGAAGAGAAGAATAAGAAGAAATAGAACATCGATCCGCGATAAAACACGAATGTGTTGAACGTTGACGATGTCGTTGGGAATTGTAACATTACGTACGACGATTAACTCTAACATAAGCGATTATGCGATAGATCTCGAGACATTTAACCGTGTATAGACCACAACAAAACCACTTTCAAATAATAAAATACCTAACCAAATTAAGGAATCGCGGTCTAGTTTCATTTAACTCGTAATATTTTTATTATTGAATATACGATAATTATCAAGTTTTTAAAAAAAGAAAGATTTCTTAAATATACAAAATTAACTGAGTACTCGTGCTGATACTGTCTGAAAAAATAATTCATAAAACTACTTTAAATATATATTAAATACAAAATTATATTAATGTATATACTTAATAACTGCGTTCAAAAAAAAAACAAGAAAAAGAAAAAAGAAAACGTTTATCTTTATATTTAGTTTTTTGAGCAGCTAGATGATAGTAACCTCTTTAAACGTAACTATTTTTGATCTTCGAATGGCGGAGGAGGGTATCACGTTTTATTACGAAAGTCTCTCTCTTTTGGACTCGTGATTCGTGCCGCTTAACACGCGATTTTCCTCTTTCGATTGCACTCGTCTGTTCTGTTCTTGCTGTATTTTTCTCTCTCTCTCTCTATCTCTCTCTCTCTCTCTCATGGGATCGACTGCACGTGTCCTAGGTGTGCGTGTACACGTATACGTGTGTACGTATGTATATACTCGTGTTGGTTCGAGGGCTTGGACGTGCTCACCGTGACCAGCAGGCTGAACGTCCGGAATGCGAGCGGAACCCGTTTCTATGAGTCAAGTCTGGCTATTGACAACAACTTCGTTCTTCTCCTCGTTCTTCTTCTTCTTCTCATCGTCATCTTCGTTGTCCTCGTCGTCGTCGTCGTCGTCGTCGTCGTCATGTTCATGTAGTCATAGTCGTAGTTATAGTCGTCTTGATAACCGATCCTACTCGACTCGAGAGATCGTACATCTTGATTCCTCGGCAGGATACAGGAAATAATGATTTCGCGAAATGTAAGATGAAATTTCCGGAGTTTTGATATGCTACTTCGTTTTCCGAACATATCTCTGTGTGTGTGTATGTTTTCATACGTATTCTCACGCTGATAATTAGTTTTATCCTATTAAAATAATTATTTTTATCTAATCTTCTTTCATTTTATCACAAACATCAATGTTAATTATTCATAAAAAGAGGGTTTAATAATAAAACCATACAGACACTTTATGTGTGTATACTTGTTCTTATTAATTTATTATTTAAAAACAAACAAAAAATAACATATATCTAGAATGAGATTTCAGCCAAATATTTTCTTTTATTTTTAGAAATGAGTAATCTATATTTTTAATACGTTTGTAATCGAATTTGTTTTACAAATTACGCGACGCGATCATTTGACCATACGTGATGATGGGTTTAATGTTAAAACGAACGCACGAAGTTATGCGTAGAATAAAAAAAAAAAATATTGGAAAAGAAAAAAGAGAATAAAACGCGATACATCATTTTGCGAATTTCTCTAATCGATCGTAGCTTCACCTACATTCAGCGTATTTACCGTGTGCTATGAATAGAAAGACCATACGTTCCTTCGATCAGTTCGTGGGTGGTATATACCGACTTTACTTCCCGATCTATTGCCATTATTCTTTTTTTTCTTTTTTTTTTGCGAAGAAAATCTATCTAATATTAGGTCACAATTTTTATTAAAACGAAACAACGTACAAGAACAAATATGTTTTCATAATGTTTCTACTATTCTCTGACCTAGTAGAAATGATTTGAAAACTTGCGTCTCCATCCCATTAGATTCGATCGTTTCTCATTTTCTGCTTTCTATATATAATACGTAGATATAAACACACACACACACGTGTGTACATACGTGTATAAGTAAAGAAGTTAAGGTGTAGGTGTAAGAGCTCGCGTGACCCGCGCGAGTCCTCATACATATACGCTCACTGTAGGAGGCAAATGTGCGGTGAGCAACTGCAGCAAACAGCAAGCAGCAGCAACAGCAACAACTTCGACAGAGAAAGAGAGAGAGGAATCAAGCCGTTAGCTAGAAAGCGATGATAATACGAGTGCGAGAAACGAACCTGACCGAACGTATCTCTTCTGTTAAGTCGTTAATGGTGAAAAGACGCTAATATTCCTCTTTTATTTCTCTTAACTCTTACCTTTCTTCTTCTTCTTCTTCTTCTTCTTCTTCTTCTTTTTTTTTCTCTTATTCTCCTTCTTCTTTTTCTACCATTTCATCGCCGTTACATCGCGAATTTATGACTGACTGAGTTAGCGTTGATCAACCGATGTAATATTGAATTAACCAACGTCAGATTTAGTTCTTAACCTAAATTCCTTTATCAAACAACTAATTTGAAATAATAATTAGTTCGCATCGCTAACATAGTAGTCCAGTATTTTATAGAATAAGTTGTTTCTCAAATTATTCAACGATTATACACGATCGTATCTTTCCTAGACATTTTATCCGGATCCAACGGTCCATTAATTACTTTTCTTCGACCTGTTCCAGCAGGCCCAACACGATCTCGGAAGCTATGCCGGCTGAGAGAGCAGTAGGAAGGGGAGACGGAAGTGGACCCACATTGCAGCAGCCACCTTAAGAAGAGTTTGCGTGGGAGATAAGCTTGGCGAAGGTTGCCAAGGTTAACTCTTGTCATCCTTCGATGAACGATGCCGATGTCGTTCGAGGCTCATCCTCGCTCGTTCCTCCTTCTTCTCCTCCTTCTCCTGTCAGATCAGTGTTCCTCGAGCGGAAGTCCCTCTCCTGAAAGAAAGTGGCCAATTATTTAAGGATTACCGTTTGGGAATCCACGTCGTCGCCATGGTGGACCTCCTGTGTAGCAACTCATTGAGCCCGGGCACGTAAAAACGATCTTGAGATTTCGAACGAACGAAAGAGAAAACAAATAAATAAGTAAATTGTTAATCGTTAGAATCGAAAGATATAGGACAAACAGCATGTAAGGTGTTAAACGAAAGGACAGCCTTCCCCCCGTGAAATCAGCGTCGAGTAATGCTGAAGCATATCCTAACGGGGCAACCGTCGTCAGCGGGCTCCAGGCATCATCACAATGACTATCAAACGAGCTCGGGCTCGTTGCACGCCGGCCACCATCATCACCATCAACACAATCTTCTTCAACAGGAACAGCAGCCGCAACCACAACAACAACAGCAGCAGCAGCAACAACAACATCATTATGGTGGCAATGGGAGCGGAGGTACGATCGCACGAGGCACGTCTGCAACGTCTGCTAGAACAAACGGCATCGACGTCTACGATTCCGTGGTTCATTCGTCGTCGCAAAGGCCGACGACGACGACGACGACGACGAATTCGTCAAACGTTCATCATCAAGCAGCGACGACACCTTCCTCGGCTCATCGGCATCCCTTGAATCATTCGCAGCTCAGTGTGAACAATCTCTCCCAACGATTAAATCACTCCCACGCGCTTAATCTTTCGACCCTGTCGACGTCGAAGCATTCGGTGAACAGTGTCAGTCCGGTCGTTGGTGGTAGTAATAACAACAATAACAATGGCAGTAACAATATCAATGGACACAATAATAATAATAATAATAATCTGTCGAGCGTGCCAAACCAGACGGTCGTCGGTGTCCAACTGCCGATTCATCAGGACAGACCGAAAGCGAACGGTGGCTTCGATATTTCGAGATTATCTAGATTACCTAGCCAAACGACCCCGTCGCCAGCACCTGCTGCCGTTCATCAGCCGGCTATGCCCGTTCAGATCGGCGGACACCCCGGACCAACCGTCATACCTCTTAACGCCTCATGGTCTTCTTCCCTATCGAGGAATCATCGGTGTCATGAGGCTGGCGTTAAGGAGATGTTAACGAGTCTTGGACTCCTCTGTTTGGTTTCTCTGTTACTCGCTCTCCTTTCCCTAATCTTCCTATTGAAGATTTCACCGTTGACGGTCACGCCGAGTAGCCTCATCAGCCCCGAGGAGTACACGATCGTCTACGAGGTGACCTTGGCTTTATGTGCGCTCGCTCTGTCCTTGAATCTGTGCTGCCTTCTGGTCTGCGCCATACAGTTCCTCTTCGCAGTTAAACTCGTCAAGACGTCGTATCAGGGACATCGGTAAAAACATTTTTCTTTATTTATTATTCTCTAGGTGTTAATATATATATATATATATATATATATATACAGATAGTCCTCTTACAACAAAATTTCCACAAACTTTTGTACAACGCTTTACTTTTACATCACTGGGATAACATGATTTTGTTGAACATATTTACAAAATTAAATTACCTTAAAATAATGACGCGAAGGAATAATGAACTCTGGGTTTTACGCAAGAGGGCATTTTTTAGGAACCTATCTACCGTGTTATAGGAGGGTTATCTGTATATACATATGTATAATTCGTACTTCGCGAGGCCGTTAACCGATGAACGATGAGCCGAGCGAAGGAAACCGCTTATCGTGCGAGTTTGACGCCCTGGAATCCAGTTCGATTACTTTTGAGTGCCGACGGCCGGCTGGTGGCCGCCGTTACCGGAGGATCCGTAATTAATTAACGAAATAAGAAAAGCCGTCCCATTTCGAACGATCGCCATGCAATAACGTTCCTCGTGACCCGCGTGAAAGCTTTTCAACCATCGTCGTTGTCGTTGTCGTTGTCGTTGGCGTTGTCGTTGACGTTGTCGGTATCGTTTCTCTCAAATCTTGTTTCTTCCTCTTTTATTTCTTCTTCTTCTTCTTCTTTTCGTTTTCTTTTTAACCGTCCAAACATGATCGTGTTGAGAACGCTGAGACGTAACGAGGTACTAATTATTTCAGTCAGATTCAATCTGAATTACCAACCGAGCCGATCTACGTCCAATTACAATTCAAAATTTTCTTATCTTATTCAAAATAATTCGTCTATTTATTAACGTTGAGATCGATAGATCATGATTGTTTGAGATGAAAAAAAATGAAGCAAAAGAAAAAAAAAGCTTATACAATTGAGCAGTTTATTTTGACAGCAACCCCCGTGTTCATTTTTTATTTATTACCGCGAAATGTTTTTTATGACAATTAACTTTAAGTTGTAGGATATTATTACGATCAACAAACAAATAAATATTAAAATGGGCTTACGCCACTTTCAAAATAAACGGCTCATACAAAAATAGATACAATATAATATTTAGAAAGAAAAAGAAACATTTTTTGGGGACATTCAACCCCCAATCAATCTACAGAATTGTTCTCACAATTATTCAGCCCCATTACTCTTTTTTTTTTTTTTTTCTTATTCTTGACATACATAGATACAGCCGAGAATTACGAATTTCTTTCTGAATAAGGCAATAGAAGATAGATTGACGGAAAACGTCGTTGTTATGTCACGCGTACGATGTCAAATCTTCGACACACTTTTCTTTCCCCTCCCCTCCCTCCCTCTTTCTTCACCGTATAATAAACCCGATCAAGATAATCCTTCGAAATAAGTTCTCAGTCATCCATGCGTACGTACATATTATACTTACGTACGTATTGTGTATGCTGTTCGAAAGTAGGTGTCTCGTATCTGTACGAGATCAGTGCGTTTCGTGATACATCATCGTTGTATCCTTTTCTGCATGTATAGTATTTCTTCTCACGAAGGTTTGAGAGTGAATGCGAAACGTAAAAATGAACATCCTGTGTTGGTATTACATTCATACATACATACATACACACATATTTATGTACGTACGTATGCATACAATTTTATTGATGTATACAATCGTGATAGCTGGCAGAACGCACAGGTGCGAAGCGGTTCTTTTCGCGATGCAACCTGGACGAAAGTAAAAGATGAGGGAAGGAGAAAAACGAAGTGAAAAAAAAAGAAAAAACATTGCAGATACCTACAACGTTACGAGATATGCGATCGAGAAGTACGTCGAACCTCTCTTCTTTTTCTTCTTCTTTATTTCGTAACAGCCGGTAGATAGGACACGTTCGATTCGTTAAAGAAGAAGCTTCTTCTATGCGAGCAAGAAACATTAACGAAAAATTCATTTTTAATAATCCTAGTGTAGCGTTTCGCTGAATTTTGTCTACGAAATATTTTTCTGAAAAATATAACAAGCTTGTAGCATTATAAATACGTACAGAGTATCCCAGTCCAACTGCGACAGCACATTCCGCAAATGGAAATAAGAAACAAAATACTATCCGATATTCTTTTTTTTTATTTTTGATAAATTATTTGTATATATAAAAAATGATCAAAACTGATTTGATCGTGGAACGATTATCGGGGAACATCGTGTATATAGATAAATGTTAGAAATTGAGGTGTTGATAATTAAAAATCGGTGAATTAAAGATCGAGACGGTAATTATAAATCGTGATTTTATTAAATAGATCAAATTTCTTCTTTACTGACAATAAATCTCGGACGTAGCGTTAGTAAGTCGAAAAGTAATGTTTGAGTGGTTTATCTAATCAACGCTGAGATAATCGATGATCCCTTTTTTCTATTTCTCTTTGAAATAGATATCGTTATCGAACCAAACCAACCGACCCTGGCCTTATACAACCTTTCCATTTCTAGACTATTTCTTCTACGACACGCTAGGAAAGAAGTAAAAGAAATAAAAAGTATTCCCAAGGAATAGGAATGTCTATAAATTGTTTTTGGAATTCCATGTTATCCAAGATGCCTCGAGGCACAAACAGAAAGAGAGGGAGAGAGAGAGAGAGAGAGAGAGAGAGAATTTTCCATGACTTTTTTTCTCCAGCTATAGTAGTCGAAGGTCCTGCGATTGAAATTCTATCGTCGTAACGAGTTTGTCGTTGTAGTAGTTGTCGTCGTCGTCGTACATTGGATTCTGCTACTGCGGAGATGAAAGTCGATCTTTAGAACGATCTATTAAAAGGCATTAGAACATCTATCTGAGCCATTTATTTTGAAAGTGGCATATGCCCATTTATGTTCGAATCGACATATTTAAGGGTTTGCGTTCGGATTCAATTTAAAAATATAGATAACAAATGACATAGTATTTCTGAGGGATAAACAATAAATTGTTTTTCCTTAACGCCATTTAAAAAGGCTGGAATCTCATCAAATTTTATTGCATAATATTTTCCATATCTATTTGAAACTCTCACAATGGGACTTACGCTACTTTCAAAAAAAACTTTTTCATCGTTTCATTAACCAGCAAATGTTCATGTTACAAAATCTTAATGATTTGAAATATATTAATAACAAGTTGCTTCAGAATGAAAAAGATCATGTAAAAATGCAAATTTAGCAGAAATTTGAGCAACAAATTTAATCAAAATAATTGATTAAACGCGGTATAGATAAATTTAATGAAATTATTGGCACGTTCTGTGTCGTCTTGATATTGAAATACTTATCGTTCAGGCCGCATGGGACGTATACGTCCCACAATTTATGATTGCATCATTTTGCCTCTGAAGTATGTCTTGCAATGATTTAAATAGCAAAAAGATCGTAATTATCAAGACATGGGTATTAGTTTAAGATACATAAAACAACAAATGAATTAATTTATTTTTTTAGAAATTATTTTAACATTATTGAGAATCATTTGATATTGATAATACCACGTAATGGCCACGTGGCACTGTTAAGAGTTGCTAGTTTTGTAGATAACTTGGCCTAAATGTCTGTCGGTGGTGAAGATAAGTGGACGATCGATCCCACTTTTGGAAAACTTTTTTTTATCGCGATCGTTGCCCTATTCTTTTTCTTTGTCTCTTTCTCTTTCTTTCCTTACTTTTTTTCGTCGTTCATCCTTACGCGAAAATATATATATATATATCTCGAAAAATCTGACGAAAAAAAAAAGCTTGAAAGCACCGCTTGCTTTAGTCAGCAACTCGGCAAGTAGTATAGCATTGTTACGAGCAAAGACCTCCATTCTGTACGCCTTCGGACGTGCTCCGAAAAGCGACACGCTAATGGTGAATCCTAAGCCCTTTTCCCTGCCCTTCTCTCGGTCCTTCCCTCCTGGCCCTTCCCTCCTGGCCCATTGTCGTCGGTAGACTCTTCAGAGACACCCTGGGGTGCGGCCTTACTCGTTGTGTTGTCATCACGGACAACTACAACCACAACGACGACGTCGTCATCGTTCATGAGAACGAATGCCAACGAGAAAAGATCTAACGATCCGGTTGCTTGAAAGACATTTTTCTTCCTCTGTGCTACCAAGTGCTAGCTCATTACTTAAGTGGCTCGTGATAACGGATCTTTGCGCTTTCATACTTAAACTCGGGACTATTCTAACTTACTCCTTCTTCTGTTGCTACTTAATAAAAAGATCCATGTTGCAGAGAAATTGTATTTCTTTTTAAATTGCACAAAGTTGCTTTATTTTTTTTTATTAATAAAGGAATAACATAATATGAAGACAGATCAAAATAAACAAGAAAACAGATATAATAATAATTCATTTATTAATCAAAAAAAGTGGGACATTTTTAATACCGCAGTAACTCAAAGAGTTAACGTTTAGAAAATTAGATATATATTTTCTCATTGGATAACTAATGAAAATTTATTTGTAGTAATCTTGCGTGTATCACTTTGCATCGATAAGTTTAATTTGTATGTAGGAGAAAAATCGATGGTAGGTTTTTAAAAGAAAGAGCTAAATCGTTCTCGAAAATGTATAAGTACGTATGAAAGACAAATTAGCCGAACTCCCGTTGGAAAAAATTCGTGTTACCCGGTGTAATTACAACGCTCCATCGGCAAACGATCGACGAATTCCTCTTCTCTCTTTTTTTCCCTTCTTACCCTTCTACTCTTTGGTTAAATACACATTTACGACGATAAAACGTAGGATTCTATGTAAAACGATCGAAACGAATCGTCGTAACATTTCTCCGTTATTTCTTTTTTTCTTTTCTTTTCTCTTTATCTTCTTCTTCTTCTTGTCTCTTTCGCTTTCAATGAAATTCCTTCATTTACGATTGAACAACCACGTCGAAACGAGTTTTCTAATTTAACCCTTCCCTGAATTCAAGGATATTTTGACGCGCGAAATTTAAACACATCTATACGCGTACATGATATCAAAGTGTATCAAAAACTTTATTTTTTTATTTTTATTTACAG